TTGGTTTGTGGTGACTTTAATATTATTAGATGACCACGTTAATCTACATCTTTTCCTTCTATGTCTTCTTGTATATTATTTGAACGCTTTATACAACACCATGAATTCTTTGATCTTCCTTTTAGTGGGGCTAACTATACCTAGTCCAATCATAATTTACACGATCTTATTTTGACAAGGTTAGACAAGTTTATTATCTCTTCTGAGTTTGTTACTTGTTTCCCAAAAATAAGTGTGAAAGCTGTACCAAAAATTCTTTTGATCATGTCCATCTTCTCCTTAACTCTGACGGTTTCTTATCTAGACCATCCCGGTTTAGATTTGAATTGGCGTGGCTATCAGAGAGATATTTACTTAGCCTGATTGAAGATTTCTTGAAAAATACTACCATTGATGGTTGGAAAGGTTTCCAAATTTCAAAGAAGCTCCAATTATTGAAACAAATGATTATTATACGGAAGAGAAATATTTGGGGAGATTTACAATCTAAAATTGGGCAGCAAAGTCTCATATAAATGAGTCAGTTTATGGGAGGGACTCTAACACATGATCAATTCAGAGACATAAGCTTATGGGTACATATAAACAGTCGCTTAATTTGGAGGAAATTCATTGGAGACAAAGATCTCGTGTGAAATGGTTTAAGGAGGGAGATAAAAACATGAGATCATTCAATGTTATTGCTAATGCAAGGAAAGTTGATAACTCAATTCAAAGCCTCCATATTAAAGGAATAGACTGTGACAACATGTCAAAGGTTGAAAGGGCCCTAGTTAATCATTTAAAGAATTCTTATGAGGTCGATAGTGGGATTCAACTATCCATTCAAGATCTACTTTTTACTAAGTTGCCATTAGAACAAGCTCAGTGGTTGGAGAGAAAATTTGAAGAGCAAGAAATTAGAGATGCAATCTTTGGCCTAGGCAGAGATAAGGCTTCTAGCCTAGATGAATACCCAATGGCTTTTTTTCAATCTTTTTGGGATATTTTGAAAGATGATATTGTTCAATTTATTGGAGAGGTAAAATTAATGTTGCTATGAATTCCACTTTTATTGCTTTAGTTCCAAAGAAAAATATCATTGCAGAGATTAAGGATATTCGGTCTATTAGCCTTATTGGTAGTCTATATAAAATCATAGCAAATATTTTAGCCAATAAACTGTTCCAGGTGATTTACATGGTTATTAAAGGACCACAATCAACATTCTTGAAGGATAGACAAATTATGGATAATATTTTGGTTGCACAAGAATGTATCCACTCAAGAATCAAGGATGACAAATCGGGCCTTATATGTTAGCTAAATTTTGAGAAGGCATATGATAAGGTTGATTGGGGGTACTACAAAGTATCATGGCTAAAATGGGTTTTTGTTCAAGATGGAGATTGCGAATTGATGGTTGCCTATTTTCTACCCATTTGGTAATAATGGTCTTATAGTATCACATTTACAGTATGCTGATGATGCCATTATATTCAGCGATCCCACAGTTAAGGAAATCACCTACCTATGGATTTTCTTGAAAAGTGTGGAACTCTCAATTGGACTTAAAATCAATTTGAGTAAAACCAAGCTCATTGGTATTGGTTTTCCGCAAATGGTAGTATCAAGAATGGCACATTTATTAGGTTGTGGGGTTAAGTCATAATCTTGTACTTATTTGGGAATTTCCTTAGTGGATTTGAGGCCTTCAAGATCAATTTGGCATTCGATGGTGGAGAGATTTGACAAGAAACTGGACACTTGGAAACCTAAAACTCTTTCTATGGGGGGAGATACGTTGATTTAATCCACTTTGTCCAATATCCCAGTATATTTTATGTCCTTATTTAAGATGTCAAAAGAAATTGAAAACAACTAGAGAGAATTATGAGAAATTTCTTGTGGGGAGATAATATAAGAAGGACAAGATTTCATCTGGTGAGTTGGGAAAAAGTTTATAGATCAAAACAAAGGGGAGGATTGGGTGTTAGGAGACTGAAACATATAAACTCGACACTTTTAATAAAATGATGGTGGAGGGTCTATACACAACCTGAGTCTTTCTGGGTTCTTGCTCTGAGAGCTAAATATAGAATGGATTTGAACTTTGGCCTTATTAAAAGTCCAAGAAATAAGACAAGTCTGTCCCATGTTTGGAGAGGTATTGACTATGAGATATCTGCGTATCTACGGCAATTTCAAAAAATAGTGGGGAATGGAGAATCCACTCTTTCTTGGTTTGATAAATGGATTGGAGATGACCCGTTGAGACACCTTTTCCTTGAGGTTTTCTTAAAAGCGTTAAACCCACTATCATCTGTCAAGGAGGCTAATGAGGGTGTTTATATTAATATTGTTTAGTCAATTCCTTCTAGGTACAGGAGAGGTACAAACAGATTCATTGAGGAGTATCAAACATTGTTGGAATTATTGAATGACACATATTTGATTCCAAATATGGATGATAGCTTTATTTGGGATCGTACCCATTCGGGAGATCCTTCGGTTAAGTCAACCTACAATCTATTATTTTCTAATCGTTGAGAGAGTTGGATGCTGGTTTATTCAAGATTAAGAAATTGCATGTGCCTCTTAAAGTACAGTTATTCTTATGGATCTTATGCCAAGATAAATTAGCAACTATTGACAACTTGAGAAAGATGAGGTTTATTATCACCAATGCATGTATCTTATGCAAAGACAGTGATGAAACTTCACAATATCTTTTCCTCTCATGCCTTTTTGTTATATATCTTTAGCATTAGGCTCGACAGTGCCTCAACCTATCATTACCTTTGCCCCATAATATCAGAGCTCTTCATGACCAATATATCACACCCAATATCTCAAAGACGAAAACTATTCTTTAAAGATCTATTTGGGTTAGCCTTCTTTGGAGTGTGTGGGAAAAATGAAATAGAAGAGTCTTTGATAGTATAAATACAAATCTATCTATATTAAAATCGAATATTTTGGCAGTTTGCAGCTGATTTGTTCCTTGCTCATAAGGATATAGACTTTACTCCTACAAGTCTTATCATTAGCAATCCCTTGACAGTGACAACTCTGGGCATTACCACCAACACTCGTAGTGATATTATTTGGATACCACCACCAGTGAATTATTTCAAATTTAAGTCTTATCATTAGCAATCTCTTGGCAGTGACAACTCTTGGCGTTACCACCAATACTCGTAGTGATGTTGTTTGGATACCACCACCAGTGAATTCTTTCAAATTTAATTTTGATGGAAGTTCACTTGACAATCCAAGGCCAGCTGGCTATGGTGGTCTCATTAGAAATAATGTGGGTCACATTATATTTTCTTACTCGGGTCTTTGTGGTCTCACAAGGACAAATGAGGTGGAAGCACGTGGTTTATTAAAAGGTAGAAATTGCTATGCACTTTAGAGGGGGGTAGGATTATTGAAGGAGACTCGGTAAATGTCATTGCCTGGAGTAAGAGAAATGCCCATATTCCTTAAAGATTAAGGATTATTTTTCATCAAATTTGGGATATTTTGTCAACCTCTACGACAACGGTCCAACAATGTTATAGAGAGGCGAATGAAGATGTCGATGTTCTCACCAAAGGAGGAGTCCATACTCCCTATATGTTGGTTACTTCATTTCTATAATCTTGTGTATTTGCTCGAATATGTTGTATTTTATATTTAAATTAATGATAAGTCGTACATTCTAAAAAAAAAAAAACGCTTGTGAATTTGTTTTGCTAAGTAGGCTTTGGCAAAGAGAGAGAAATCTACCGCATCTTTGAATAAGAGTTCGACTACTTCAAGTAAAAGCTCGAATGCTTCATCAATAGGAGGGAAAATTTTAAGATAATACAATTGATAGCTAAACTCTAGCTGAATATGACAAGAGCAGATAAAACTTCAAGAAGGAAAGAACAACATGGAGAACAATGGGGTAGAATCGTGGGAAAAGAAGAGGGGAATAAAAGGGGAGGTAAAAATGAGATGGAAAATCAAAGGGAAGGAGAAACAGGCAGAAAAAGAGAGAAGAAGGAGACCAGAGCTTGATTTTGTTGCTCAGACAACCGGAAGAGAGAGAAAGTACGACCTGAAGAAAGAGAAAGCCTGATGTACCTTGTATTTTAGTTGAGGAGAGTTTGCGAGTGCTTTGCTCATTCAATTACTTGGGATAGGTTTCTGTCACATTGTTTCATGCCAGATAGAGAAGGAGAACAATACTCCCGAGAGTGTCGACGTAGAAAAACGGTAGAGGAGCATAGATCATGGAGAAGATGAGAAGAAGGAGAAATCCAATGATGGATATTAAGAGAGAGGTAGAAGTGAAGAAGGGGAGGAGAGAGATATTGAATGATGAAGACCGAGATAACATGAAAGGGGCCAAAAGGAAATGATCCATGTTAAAGATTTTGAGAAGATCCATGGTTAAAGATTTTGAAAAGGTTCAGATAAGTATTTATAGGTTGAGAAGCTCCATATTCTCTAAATTGAGAATGTCTAGAGAAGTATTTATAGTTACATGTTCTCTTGAGAATAAAGCTTATTTAGAGAATGTCTAGAAAAATATTTGTAGTTTCATGTTCTCTTGATAATAAAGCTTTGTGTCCTAATTCAACCTTTACTTTAGGGAACAAGACTTCACTCTTTCTGGTTAGAAAGACTGAGGGAAAGAGAGGAGAAGAGGAGGCCTACTAATACCCGGTGAGTGAAAGAAAACAATCATATATGACAATGCATGATATATTTACATCGTGATTATGATCAAGAGCTAGATAGTAATATCAAGGTTTTCTTACGTAAAATAAGATATAATACGCTAAACCTGCACTTGTCAAAAATCTATGGTAAGTAATGGAAGACATAATACGCAGAGGTAAAAAAACGGATAAAAGTGCAGGCAATTGTCCCCTTATATATCCTTCAGAAATTCCGTATTTCCATTTTAGAAAGGTGAGGCGGGGGACTCATACTAACCTTGTCCTGTGTACAATGATTCATGAATAAATCAATCCCATATGCAAGGTGGGGGCAGGGAGCCAAGGGACCGCAGGGGGTGATGGGGTCTTTGAGTTTCTGCATGTGCCCTCCATCGTCTCCTCACTCTAAGCCTCATCTCACTGATCTTTCATGGCCACCGCTAATGCAAGCCGAACAACGTCTTCTGAATTGGACTGAGAAAATCCTTTTGCACGCTGTTGCAGGCGTTCTATCCTTTGGCTTCTCCTCCAATTCAGTGGCAGTTGCAGTGGAAGCAGCAGCAGGATTACCTTCTCACTCTGCCACTGCTCCGGATTGCCGTGAATCAGAAGAAGGTGGAGATGAAGAGAGAGAATTTCCCCCGGAGCTTGTTCCGAACCGAAGGATTGGGGAGGAAGCTTGGCAAATCGTAAATGATAGCTTCTTTGATGCTCATCTCCACAGCTGGTCTACCAAAAAATGGCTGGTAATATTTTGTTTCCTTCTTAAACATGCCCCCTCTCTCTTTATATGTGAGTTGATTTTGGCTGTTATTTTCTTGAAAATTTTGAGAAAAATGAGTTTTGTTTATTCCTCTCTCCCTCGCTTTAGGTTGTTACGTGCTAGAGAATTATGTGGGAAGTGGGTTTTCCTTGTTTCCCGTTTTCTGTTCCCCATCGGTGTTAATTTTATGATTAGTGTGACACATCTACATGGTCTTTAATTTCATTTTCTCTTTCTCTTGGAGAAATGGTTTTGTTAGTTTGGGATGAATAGGAGTAATGGCTAGAAAAGTTACTTGAAAGTTACTCATAAGCTTCCAATTGTATTTCAGTGACCCATATATTGGGGGGTGATTGTCAGTAAGGTTTTGGTTTGTTGAACAAAGAAAAGGTTTTAAATTTAAAGATATGAGTTTTAAAGAGAATGTGTCATACTTTACTACTGTTTATGGAAATGATTATATGAATGAGGAGTACAAGTCATGCTTGCAGTAGCTCATACACACGTGAAATCAATAAATTTAGGGCAACAATTAACAGCATGCTTCTTTTGTTCGATCGTCCATACACAAGGCAACATACTTTTAACGTTCGAACTCATCCATCATGGGCACCAAATAATGTTTGGTTCATGAAGCCTCATAAATCCATTGGTGGTGCATTAGACCACGTGTAAGGGAATTATATCTCATCATTTTTCACCATCACCAGATGTACGACATACATACAAGGTTGTTGATTGAAATGCATAATGCTGTTTTTCGGTCGGTGGGGGGACTTCTTTAGGAATGGAGGTTTGATCTTCATGGGGTATCACCTCTTCAAAATCTATCTTGGACATTAAAGAACATACATTTATTGATAATTTACTGCAATGTGACAATTTTCAGGATGACGAAATGTTTTGGAGAACACTTAAAAAATAAACTGCTCCTGCTACCATGCCATGTTCACCTTGTTATCTATGCGTTTATAAACTCTCTCGGAGGGGGAGTCCACAGAGACCTCTACACTACCGACGAAACTGATATTTGATAGGTTGGCTCTTTGGAATTCGAATAATGATAACTGTACTTGGGAAAGTTCCAGGTTATTGGTTGTTGAGTCCTATTTTGTCATGTTTAGTCGCTCTACATGTGACATATAACATTTACATCTATCTTCGTTTGGTTTGCCGTCCTTCATTGCTAATACTTTTTTGTTCTCTTTCAAATTTCGTTTTGTGTTTGAAGATTCCTATCTAACCAAGGTCTGCTGTACCTCCTTTTAGTTGACATGGTTTATACCAATGTATTCTTGTTCTTTTTCTTGCTTTCGAGCCCCATTAAGTTTAAAGTTTCCTTGTGGAAGTGGATAATTGAGCATGCTGAACAGGGATCCGATTCTCAAACTACTTTACTTTTCCTTATAGTTGCTTTATTTCACAAAAATCAAGGAGAGATTCTTTCTGGCTCCATTGACACAAGATCTCAAGCTCATGATATTATTAGAAGGATGTTAGCTAGCTTGGCTGACCCATATACTCGGTTTCTAACGCCATCGGAGGTATTATCCCTTAATGGATCTTTTATGCTTGTGGCTTTTCTGCTTTACTTTGTGAAATTATATGGTTTTTAGAGCTTTTTGCTACTGCAATCTCATTATTATCTGTCGAATAACTTCTCTTGAAAGCATTTTTGAATTAAAAATGTCGTCAATGGCGCTCTTATATTGTCTACTAAAATCTCGGTGCGAAATTTTAATGAATCTGTCATGAACTTTGCGTACAAGATTGTTTCTTCTAACACATGAGAAATTCCAACTCGAGTTAAAAGCGTAAAACTCTAGCTAGCTTATCTTGTCTTCTTTAATCAGTCAATACTTCTTCCTTCTTGCTTATGTAGTTCATGCCTGAGACGTAAAAAAATTGAATGAAACTCTTAAACAAAAACACTGAATTTATCCACTAATAGATGCTATTTCTATCTCTCAATTGAGTAACAACTAGTTGAAATGTACAGTCTTTCTAAAGTGGTGGCATAGAACTTGAACTGTAAGACTTGATGATTATGTTTGCATGGCAATAGGCCTTTGCCAATAGAAGTAGAAGAAGCTGAAGAAAACGGATGCTAAGGCCATTGTTAATAGAATAAGAAAGAGCAAGAGAGTAAGAGATTTCAAGGAAGAAGAAAGAAGGGCAAGGAACAGTAATTTTGTTTTGGAGAGCAAGAGAGAGAAGGGCAGTTAGTGTTTTGGACTAGAAGGAAAACAATAGTTAGGAATTTTTTTTTTTTTGAAGAGCAACAAATAGGTTGTGAATACTAGTGTTATAGATTTTAAACAAGATCTAGGTTTATATTGGATTAAGGGAAAATCATGAATTTTGTGGCTGAAACATGGGCTCAAAAGAATAGTAACATGAAAGATAGCTTGAACAATAGAATGAATAGTAGCTTGAACAGTTGGTACCCCCAATATGGGGGGAAATATGAGAGAGAAAGGTTAGGATTTAGGAAAGAAGGATGAGTATGATGAAAGAGGGTGAAGATGAAGAAAGAAATATTAGGGTTTAGAATAGAAAGAGATGATGAATCTTTAAGAAAAAGAAAATATGGGTTCCCTTGATTACAGTTGATCACATTGAGAGCATATTCAAACCTTGTTCTATTAACATGAAAAACGTAGAGAAGAGGAGACAAAAGGGGCGCACACCATTCTACCATGAAAACACACACCATGGCAGAACCCTTATTCTTGTATTATAACATATGTTACATCTTGAGTAAAGACAGGTTTTCCCTTGTATATTACAGCCAATGACTTTACAATATTAAACGATTTAACATACACACAAATTACAGAACTGCCCTATTCGACGCAGAAGGTGGTTGTCGAGGCTCTATCCATTGTCCTCATAGACCTCCCTTCCCATGCAGAAGTTCTACTCTACCTTCTAGCCAAAACCACAGGGATATCTCTAATGTCGACTAAGTGATGACCCCAAACCCTATTTGATTCGCCGATGGGTGACATGCCCATCCTCGTGAACATAGTTTCATGACTTTGAGTATTTTATTCTCGGGGCCCCAGGCGGTCTAGTCCCACTGAGTCGCCTCAAACACGGGCCCCTTTATGGGTCCCATGCTCCCACTAGAGCCATAGAATGAGTACGAGTCCAACAGTGTTGAGGGCTTGAACCGCCATATACATCCAACAGAGACCATGGGTGAGTTGCTGTCTGTTTGGCAGGATTAGAACCTGGAGTTGAGTTTATTTGGAGGGCTTTAGATTAAGGTTTTTTGAGGTAGGGTGGATGGCGGATTTCGCTATGATAAAAAGCAAAGGAAGATGGACCAGCTTGATCTTTAGGTTTATGTAGGAAAATTAAGTAATTGTAGTTAGAGGGGTGGTAGGTGACAGAATATCTATGAAGGACTCTGCGAGTGAGTTCTGAAGGCCAACATTGTTGGCACAAGACTGGAGTTAAATGTTGGTATAACATCAGGGCAGGGTGTTGGGCTCTATCTCCCCTAAGGGGGGAGAGGGGGAGAAGGTTCTACTAGTCGAACCTAAGTTTGGAAGGATCTGTTATTAAAGGGAGAAGAAGCTTCCAGCGGCGAGGTCCCCATTACTGGCGAGAGAGCAATTGAGAGAGGGTTTTCAGAAAAATTTCATTTTGCACCATTAGTTTGAATTGAAAAGCGTTATTTATGTCCATTTTATGCAAATCTAAATGTCTTGTAGCTACAACTGATAAAACAACTCGAATTGTAGTTTGGTGATCAGAGTAAATATTTCATCATAATCCGAAGTATACTCCTTTGTGTATCCTTTAGCTGCAAGCTGAGCTTTCTACATGCTACCAGCTAGTAAGGTCAATCTTAAAGAACAAAGATCCATTTACACCCAGTAAGATTATTTCTGGGAGAAGAGAGGGATTCTGTCATGAGTATCATTTTGTTCTAAAGCCTAAAGTTCCTCAGCCATGACATGCTTCCAACAACCTTGTTTCAAGGCCTCTTTGTGGTTACTAGTTGTGCAAGAATAGAAGATGATGAAGTAAATGAAGTAACAAGAGCAAAATGACAGAGCACTATAAACTGAAAATCATAACAAATGAGAGGAACATAAATATTATCAGACTTGAGAGAAGAAACCCAGGTGGAGTAGAAATGGCTTTATGATTGTATTGCATAGTAGCCTTAATGGTTAACTCTTAGGAAGGTGTCAGTGGACACTACATCACATGTAACATTAAGATGGACAACTGTGTCGGGTTTTGGCCTTCAAAGGCCTAGAGAGCTTGTAAAGATGATAATTTATAGTGGAATATGGACTTCAATAAGATTTTGTGTGTTGACTGACCAAGGGTTGGGCAGTTATGTCCAAAACCCTTACCCCTGGGCATGTGGCACTATCGAGAAGGGTGGGTCATCCCTTGTGGAGATCGAAGAGATGCCCATGGATGATATTTGTAGGTCAGGAGAATTGTGTCGTCACTTGTGTGCGGTTGTAGGCCTATGAGAGCAAGGGCCAAAGCCTCAACAACCTTCCGCTCGACATGTACAGATGACAACCGTATTATTGAGAAGCAGCCCTATAGAAGGACATGTGTATATGTGCATAGAGAGAGCCCTCTTTGCACTGTGGTGATAAGTATTAGACTTGCTTTTAAAGGGAATCCAGGATCATGGTCCCACTGTTTATTGTCCAACTGTAACAAACGAATCATGAGCCCCAAGATTGAGATTATGGGTCATGGGTTTTTGTTGGGTTGGATAAGAAAATAGTAGTGGATCATAGTTCTTACTTCTTGGGTCAAATAGAGTGCCCTTATTGTCGCTAATTTTGACTCATTGGTATCAATCCACTTCTAAACTATTTTATTTTGGTTTTAGAAATGTTTTTATGATTTCTACAATTTTTTTTAGAAATTTAAATTTTTTTGCTACAGTCAAATTCATTAAAAGGGCTTGTTCAAAATTTTCAGAACTTGAGAAGGTACATGTGAAGACCAAGGATCCATCCACCACATGTGTGTACCACCAATATGTGGGGCCCACATGATCCCCTAGGTGGTGCGCCCCTATTTTTTATTTTAAATGTGCCACTTTTAGTTGAAGTTAGTTAGATAGGGAATCTTCTATTTTTAAACTAGATTTAATTCCTATTCAAAAGGGAGTTTTGTGTTGTTTTTTTAAAAAAGATTATCTTTAACTACCTATAGATTTTGGAAGATCTAGATAATGACAAAAGTGGTTATAATTCAAATTTAAATAGAAGTTGGACTTGGGTCAAATTATATAGGGATAAAGTTTCTATTTTTCATCCAAAATTATGATGGTTGATTTGTGGGATATGACTTAGATTTGATCTCTCTCACCCCACAGACTTCCTAAATATCCTAATGGTCAAGCTGGAAATTTAGATAATGCATACCTAGATTAGAATCTTATTCAAAATGGGAAATAGATTTTATTCTATTTAAATCTATTTGAACCATATCTCAAAAAAAATGATAAGATTTCTCTCTCATGCCCTAGGATTTCTCTCTCTCTCTAATGCCATACTTCTCTCCCTCTCGTGCATAAAAATTCTCTCTCCCTTTCCTACACGCCCCATATTTCTCTCTCTCTCTCTCTTTCAATTTTAATCATGTCTCTCTCTCCCCTTTGTCTCATAGAGAGTCACGCCACCCATAAAAAGAAAAAAAGAGGTGGCACTTTCAAACGCGAACTAGGTTTGCTGTATTTGAAGAAAGAAGGGAGAAATCCTAATTAAGTTTGTAGAAATCATAGAGTCTTATAGGATTTGTGGAAATCCTAGTTAAGTTTTTGAGCTCTCTAAAACCCTAGATTGACAGGTATAGCCTGAAAAGCTTCCCATCTCAGAATTTCCAGCAACACCCAAATGACTAAAAGTGTGCCATCGATCAGAGAATCGGGTGTGGGGTGGATCAAGACCTGTGAGGGTAACTCTAGGCACCTTCTAGTAAGTCTTCTCAGTAGATTTAATTATTTTTCAGTAATATTTGGTAGTTTTCTATAAATTTTCAGTAACATATATTATACTCAAAACAATAGTGGAAGATTGTTTATTGCCCCAGGATGGTTTCTATTTGCTTTGACAATGAAAGTAAAGATCCTAAGTTGTATCTAAGCTATTAATTTTGATTTACAGCAGTATATAGTAGCCTATGTAAGTGGAGTTTAAGTATATTGAATAAAAAAAAGAAGAAATTTTTTGAATTTAATACCTTGAATTCCACATAGCCACACTTTTCAAACTAGAGGGCTGTGTTATATCCAGTATAGATTATGAGGAGGTTTGGGAGAAGAACCAAAAAGGTTTTGGAGGCTCAAGAAACTAAGGTAAATAAGTGAATGGTTGAGGTTTAGAGACCTTTTGAAATCTTAAAGTAAGGAACTCTTCAAAGAAACATGCCTTAAAATGTATAATATATCAAATTTGGATCATGGCAGTGATAACCTTTTTGAGCAGCACCATATCCCAGAAACACTTCTATATACACACTCATTGATAGTTATAGGTTTACACACACCTTTAAGTGAATTAAGCTAGTTGCGTGAAAGGATGGTCTAATATCAGGCCTAACAAAGTGTGAACATCTAGGAGGGTCCCAACTATCTGTATACACCATTCCATTGGATATAGCTCACATAGGGTCTTGCATGGCCTAGGAGGCCTTGCATGGAGATTGGTGATATTGATGAATGCCAGAAAGGTACGCTCATTCATTTAGTAGCCACTCTCATTGATTTTTTAAAGCACATTAAGAATTTAAGAAAGGGAAAAGTTTGTATAAGGTTGCAACCTTAAAATGTAGAATTACAGATGCACCTCAAAAATCTATCGGAAAGATTGTTTTAATGTTGAAAAACCCTCTATTTGATCATCTCGACATTGAGATGTATGAATATAAAAAAAAAGTTTTTGAGTCTCAAAAATAGTGCATCTTGCACCACATTATCTAGGCCGTCCATTTTCAAGATTTTCATATGTTTATAGATCTCCTTGATTTTAACTATTTTTGGAGTTTAAAATTTTCTAATTAGATGTGAAAATAGATTTTAAGATAATCTTAAGAATTTTTTACAACAAAATTACATGTTATGATAAATTTTGGAGGTGCGCCTTAATTGGATTGTTTAAGGTTGCAACCTTATAGAAACCACACCCTTTAAGAAAATCACAAATGATGAAGAAAGTGAAAGAAATATCTTAAGCAAGTTTCGATGTTATTCAAACAAGTCCCACTGTATCATGGTTTCCTTTTGGTGAAATGGATTTGTTATGCCACAGGATGGGGGTCTGACAATATGCCTTCAAAACTGGTTTTAAAGGGTTTCTTAAGTCCAAGATTTCCACTACTTACTGCACCATTACCAAACTACCCTTCTATGTACATTAGTTTCCCATTGGGTCTGATCTTCCCTGGGGAAATTTCATTCTGAGTAGCTGGGCCTTTCTTCATGTTACATCCTGAGCTTGAATCATGATGCTTGACTTGCATATGCCCTTTTGTGTGCTCAGGTGTCTTTTACTATTTGATGAGAGTTTCCATTCTTATTTTTAGATCTTCTAGTTCCCATATGATCTAGTCAATGCTAATTCCAATGTGTCTACTGACTCTACTCCACTGACATCTAAATAGTTATTTCTATGACCAAATATTGATACTAATGAGTAGTTTTGAATTTTTCTTTCATTATCTATCTTATAGTCCAGTTGTTTCTAAATTTTTCTTTATTACAGTTCTCAAAGATGGCTAGGTATGATATTACTGGAGTTGGAATGAATCTTAGAAAAGTTCCTAATGACGATGGTTCCGCCAAATTAAAGATCTTAGGCATTGTTCTAGGTGGGCCTGCTCATTCTGCGGGTGTGAGACAGGTAATGAAAATCTTGTTTGCTTCATTTTATGCTTAGGCTTACATTTGACATGGAGTAACTTGGTAATGACATGGAGTAAGTTGGTAGTGACATGGAGTAACTTGGTTAATGATAACCAAAATTGATTCTCTCCATAGATCTCCCTTTCATTTAATTTTTGTTATGTACACCTTTTGACTCCCCATTTTATGACTGTCTTATGATATAGTTGAACTCCTCTATTGATGGTCTTTGTTTTTTGATGAATGAAGTTAGACATGATAAGCCTTGTTGTTTTTTTGGGTAAGTATGATAAGACTTGTCTATTATTATTAATGTGTTACTTACCATAATTATTGTTAGTGTGTTACTAAACAGATCCAAATTTTATTATCTGAATTTCCTTAACGTAATTGAAAGTATTAGCAATTGGTTCAGAAGATTCTTCTTCCTTGGTTTTTGATGTGCAGGCATCATTTGTTGCGGCTTATTTGAATGTGAAATTTAAGTTTTAAAGTTGAAACAATGTCCTTTATTGCTTCTAGTTTGTAACTCAGAGGCTTTGTGAACTAAGTCTAAATCTCCTTAATTTAAATAGAAACAAGTTGGGAATGTGTAAATGCAGGCACAACCCCACAAAGTTTCCTGATCCATCAAAGAATAAAAAAGTAAAAGTTAAAAACAAAAAGCTAGGAAGTTTCGTAAAGGGTGTTGAAGGATGAGTTGTACAAGGTTAATGGTGGTCTCATGTAGTTCGAGTGTTTGGTATTGTGTTGTATTCATACTTTTGGGGTTCTATGGGTTTATTGGATATTTGAGATGGAACTTGAGAGGACTTATGGAGGCAGGTTTGAAAGTGATGGGCCGGGGGGAGAGTGTTGTAGGTTTGTGGTTGCTGATGAGAGGAGTTCATTTATGATGCATTGTTGGATGATGTGTCCTTCCCCTCTCTGTGGGGGCGAGAGTGTTGTAGGTTTGTGGTGGTTGGTGGAGAGGAGTTCATATTTATGATGCCTTGTTGGATGATGTGTCCTTCCCCTCTGTCTTTCTGTGAATCCATAGAGCTGAATAGTTGATGTGGAATCCTTATTAGATTGGAGGTGAAGCAAAATTTTCATAGTGATTAGGATGTTAAAACTATTCAATTGCTCAGCAACACTTGACACTTGAAGGTGATCAATATTGGGTGTTTGTAACATTTAAATGCCTATACACTTGGGCATTTAAAGGTTACAAAAACCCAACATTGATCACCTTCAAGTGTCATGTGCTGCAAGGCAATTGAACAATTTTAACATCCTAATATTGGGTTCTGAGAATGATAATGAAAAGCTTGTCCGATCCTAATTAGTTTGGAAAAGACTTTGACAATGATGATGAAATACCTATACACTTGATCTTTGATTAAAGCTCTGTTGTGTTTCCACCATGTATGTGTCCTCATGCTTTATGATTATGGATTGCCCTCAGTTTGAAAGACTGTGCTTAACTTCGGTACCTAGAGTGTAGAATGAGTAGGGAGCTAGACTCTATATGGGGTGTAGTGAGCTCCTTCATTCTCACCTTGGCGTGCGATTAGGTCTTCGCTAAATGAGTGTGCTTGCAACCTAAGCTGGTTGTGTTGGTTTCTTAATGCGCATTGCCAGAGAGGCCATGCTTGACCTGTTGAGGTCGGCTGCAGCCAGGGTTGATTATGTTTAGTTGGCCAGGGGAAGAAAGAGGCTCATGTGATGTAGGATGTTTGGGGGCTTTTGAGGACAAGTGCTTGAAAACCTTGGCAATGGAATCCTACATATCTACATGCTTGTAGTTTCCTCAGATCTTTGTAATCCCGGAGTTTTGTTGGAGTTCTCTGTGACGATTGTCATGCATGTGCATGAGAGAGACTCCCCTACAAGGAGGAAACCTTTGAACTCTTATATCAGTATTTGTGCTCTGTGCATTAGACCCTAACTTGTGTTTGTGGAGAGTGGAATCTATGGCTTGTGGACTGCATCACTTCTATGCCTTGGTGAGCTTTGATAGGTCAATCATGAGCACCTTGCGTGGGAGACATGTTGGTCATTAGTCTGTTGGGTTGGTTTGGGGTCTACATGTGGATATAAGGTGGTCATGGAATGCCTTGTAGAGAGATCCTGTTTCAATGGCTACTCTTCTAGTTGCTTTTAAGAGGTTTTCCAAAGGTTCTTTGAGGATTTTTTTTTATTTTCTTTATTTAACTACCAAACTATCGCATTATGAGTTTTGTGTTTAAAAATTATCAAAATTGTTTACTAGATAACAATGGAGGAGCTATGTGGATCACGTGGGGCCAAACTTGGACACGATTTTGTCTAAGTGAGGCTACACACTTTGACCCACTGGTCATAGGGACCACGTGGCTGGTCAAAGAATCAAAGGACATGGAGTCCACTAAGACTCCTAGGTGGTGCATGAACATCATGGGGGGTTCTTATTGCAAATAAAATTCAGGACGATCTAGGTGGTTAATAGGAAAAATTTTGGCAATCTAAAGTGGTTGGAGAATCTACAAGTGGTTATGAATAGAATCTTAGAGGGAATCCCAAATCTAATTGGAATTTGCAAAGGAATCCAAATGGAACCGGAAGTTTCGTAGTAAGGATCTATTGGTCTCCATATATAACTGGAATAGTATTGAAATCAGAAATCCTCCTAGAGCACTATACCCCTTGATTCATGTTGGCTAAGCAAGGGATGGATGGTTGGGACCAGCCTTCTCACTCCATAAATCTTCCAATCTAACTAGAAAAGCTGGTTCACATATTTTCCTCTCTAGCTCTCTTGAGCTCTATGAATAGGGGACCCCTTATCTATAGTAGGTGCTTTCTAGTAGCTTTTCTCTAGGACATTACATGAGGGACTAGTGGCTGGCTTTCACATGGCTTATAGGTTAAAAAGAGGGATAGGGGACCTCCTAGGTTTTAATGCATTCACAAAGGCTTATGTGCGATGGCAGTTCTAATTAATGCTACAATTTGTGATTTTTCTCCATGTAAACAATGCAGGTATTGATTACAGTAATGATTTTTATACCAGCACTGTGATCAAGTTAACGAGTTGCTACGTTCCTTAGGGTGCACTCAACCATGCTTGGCGTTCTGGGATCTTTGTCTCTTCCTAGATTTGTTATCCTTAAAAATGTTGCTTAACTGGAAGGAAAGCCATTAGACATTGCTTAGATGCACAAAGGTGTTGCACAAATAAGTAGGGCTGCCAACGAACTGGGCCTGGGCCAGCCCGGCCCTAGGCCCGGGACAGCCCGGCCCTAGGCCCGGGACAGCCAGGCCCTAGGCCCGGGAAAAGCCTGAATTGTTTCAGGCCTGGCCTGGAAATACCTGTGAAAAGGCCCTACCCGGAAAAGCTCGGCCCGGCAAGGAAATGCCCGGTAGTCCGCTGCTGAAAAAAAACTCCCTGCCATTGGGCTTCTCTCTCAACTCTTTTTTTTTTTTTGGTAGAAACCATTAAAGATCCATTAAATTTCAAGACCCAACCATGAATTTCTACAAAAAAAGGAGGAGAAAGAAGTCCACACCAAGAACAACAAGAAGCAAAACAAAAACCCAAGTCTTCTTCCCTTTCTCTTCTTCCCTTTCTCTAAACCCAAATCCCCTTCCTAAACACAGTGATACTTTTGAAAAACAAATGAACCAGAGTAGAAAACTCAACCAAAAAAATATGAAGAAAAATCAATCCCCTTCTATTCCTCAAAATAGAAGAAAACCCAAAACCTCTTTCATCCCAAAGACAAAAAAATGAGAGGTAAAATAAAGAGAGAAAGAGTTAAGAACTAAGAGAGAGAAAGAGAGAGACTGTCTTCAGAAGTGGAACTGCCTCAGTAACGCCAGATATAGAGGGGTTAGATAGAGAGAGAGTTAAGTAAACCAGGTTAGAGAGAGAGAGGATATATTTTTTAGAGGGAGTGATAAAGAATGATATTGGGAAAATGCAGAGAGATAGGATAGATTTTTCAGTGAGAGCGTTGCTAGAGAGAGAAAGGGGTTAAACTTGACTTGGGTCGCCTCCATTAGAGGCCTTCCCTGAGACTTCATGAACCACTGATTTGGTTAACATGAGGGGGCAATCTCTTCCCTCTTCCTCATCTTCCTCCATGTCCGTTGTGTTGAGGTTTATGCAGGAATATCTCTCTAGAGAGGCGAAACGAGAGAGAGAGTGAGAAGCATTTTTTTATTTGGGTGGTAAACGAGAGAGAGACACGATTGGAATGAACCGGGTATTTTTGGGTTAAAATATATTTTAGAGAGAGAAAGAGAGATTGGGAGAGATTGGATTTTCTTTGAGAAAGATTTTTAGAGAGAAAGAATGGATTTTTAGAGAGTAAGAGAGATTGGATTTTTAAATAGAGAGAATAGATTCTTATTAGAGAGAAAAAAGATAATGGGTTTTTAGAGAGAGATTGGGTTTCTAGAGAGAAGGAATGAGCTTCGAGAGAGATTGGGTTTTTAGAGATAAAACGAAAGATTGGGTGTTTAGAGAGAGAGAGATATTGGGTTTTTAGATAGAGAAATAAATATTAGGTTTTTATAGAGAATGAGTTAGAAAGAGAGAAATTGGATTTCTTAAAATAGAAAGAGGGTTTTAATTTTTTTTTAAAATATTTAGTAGCTATTATTATTATGGAAAAAGTTTATATAAGGTTACAACCTTAAAATGTAGAACTACAGGTGCAACTAAAAATTTCATCGAAAAAAGTTATTTTAATGTTGAAAAACCCTCTAATTGATCATCTCGACATTGAGATGTATGAATATGAAAAAAAATTAAGATTTTTAAGTCCCAGAAATAATGCATCTTGCAATACATTATCTAGACCATCCATTTCAAGATTTTCTTATGTTTATAGATCTACTTGATTTTAACCATTTTTGGAATTTACAATTTTATAATTCGATATGAAATTAGATTTTGAGATAATCCTAAAAAGATTTTACACCAAAATTACATGTTATGTTCAAATTTGGAGTTGCGCCTTAATTGGATTG